GGCATTCTGTTGATTATCTTTTCAGCCATTTTGTAATTCATGGTTTTGTCTGTCTTTCCCTCCATAAATGTAGCGAAGACAAAGTCAGCGTCTGAGTTATCCATCACCTGATTTCCGAGCTTGCGCACAGTCTTGTTTTGAATGTCGTTGATGGTGGCCATGTATATCTAAGGAATATTTTTTACCTCCGTTTGCGATACCAAAATAACTTTAGGTCTTGGTAAAATACCCGTAAATCTGCTGTACCCGTCTTCGTAATTCCGCGGGTTAAACCCCTAAATCTTTGGCATCGATCGCGAGTCCCCCTTACTGCTGCTAGGTCAGACACGATAGAAATGCAAAGAGAGGGGATAGAACGACTGAAGGAGCACGTGCAGGAGTTGTACGATGAAATGTCTAGCCTAAAGCGCGCAGAACGGTTTGGCGCTTTGATAACGATGGCAACGTGGGCTAAGGAGTCCATCGTGGACTTTATGAAATATCCCATGTAGAATGTTAAGATGTGAGTCAAATGGGGATAAGATATTGTTAAGTAGGGTACGAAACTCCTCGAGAACCGCCTCAGAATGTTAAGATGTGAGTCAACTGGGGTTAGGTAATTGTTAAGTAGGGTACGAAACTCCTTAGGAACCCCCTCAGAATGTTAAATAGGGTGTCAAATGGAGGATAAGATATTGTTAAGTATATATGGACTGTCTGATGTGTAAGAGAATGTTTAGCACCAAACAAAGGCTGCAATACCATGTTCGGCATGGAGTTTGTACAAAGAAGCCCGTTAGTAAGGCCTGTGAGAACTGTGGCAAGGAATTCAGCACTCTTCAAAAGATGCAGCAGCACGTAAGGAAGGAAGTTTGCATACCCCCTAGTAAGATCTGTGGGGATTGTAATAAGGAATTCAGCCATGTCCGAGGGCTGCGACAACACCAGAAAAAGGGCGTCTGCAAACGTAGAACTACTCAATGTAGTTTCTGCGGTAAGGTACTTAGCAGTCGCCAACGCCTTCAGACACATAAGGAGAAACATGAGGGCAGTTACCGATTCCTTTCTAGGGCGTATGATTTAGAAGGAGTGGATTGTTACCAGTGCGGAGATATCTTAAGCAGATGCAAACATAAAGAGGAATACCTAAGAAATAGGATATATTACCATAGGAAGATGAACCGCGCCTTTCCTTCCTTTGAACGTATCGAAGGAGTCCCATGGACCAACAGAGAATATTGGAGACAGGAGTGTGACCGCTGCGGATGCGTCAGAGAAGAAGGGCACATCCCTAATTGTTTAACAATTGTCTAACCTCCTTTGCCTCCTATCTTAACATTCTACGAGGGTTTCTAAGGAGTTTCAGACCTCAGTTAACAATTGTCTAACCTCCTTTGCCTCCTATCTTAACATTCTGTGGCCCTTTCAGAATAGTTTCCAGGTCCAGTTAACAATAACCTAACCTCCTTTGCCTCCCATATATGGTAGCGCACGCAATGGCATTCCTTGGGGGATTTATGATCGTCTTAGGTATATATGGACTGCATTACTTGCGAACCCCCGGTAGACTGTATAATTCTTCCTAAGCCAAAACCAAGAAAAAAATACAGCTGCCTTCATTGTGGCAGTGTATTTCTCGAAGGATCCTTTGTGGGCCATTGGTGCTTAGCCGACCCTAAAGCCCAGCGTACGATGGTAGACGCACTTAAGAGTGCAGCGGAGACTCAGGTTCATAAGTAACTATGTCAAATATCCACCTACCATCCCTTTTACCACGGCTCATTAGATGCGTGACATCCTGCCCTTCAATGGCGTACCTTATTCTATCGGGCGCCCAAAGGGTGTACGTTCTTTTTTTTATTCTTCAGCACCAAACGCAGGCGGTCAATGTCTTCGAAGACCACGTAATTCTTTACCTCATAGATTTCCCCCACCACCAAATCCTTCCAGTGCGTTTGCATGAACTTTAGCTCATTGAATTTGTCCTGATCCATATATTCTATGGAATATCTTTAAGTGCGTCTTTAAAGTGTCTGTGTTCCTAAAGCGCTTGCAGCAATATGCACAAGGTAAACGCATTCCACGCGCATACTTTGTGATGGCTCTGCAGATGTCGTCGTAGTCGTTGCTGATCAGCACCTTGTAACCATTCTGCTCATACCTTTCCAATAGCAGGCGTTGACTATCCGATAATACCCCGACGCCTTTAGGAGTCTTCAGCTCGACGCAGAAACCACGGTATTGCACGTGTGCATTCAAGATAAGAAGGTCGGGCTGGCCGCGTTGATATCCTTTCTGCCAGCACTTTATGCGTTTGCCGTCCGAATCCTGCAGTTCGCCTAAACCAGGGGTCACRAGCATTTGGGGGTAAAACCTGCGGATGTAGTCCACCACCTTTTTATGCAAGTCAAACTCATTCTCTATTTTGAATACCAATTTGTTTGGACCGTTAAACCGCCGCTCGATTTCATATTTGCCTGTCTTCCTTAGCGCGGGTAGGACTTTCTCAAAAACCCAATCCTGAAATGCCTCTGCCGTTGGCATCTTAGAGCTGAATATCAGCTGATACAATCCAGATTCGTTTACATACTGGGAATTTGGCTGTGCGTTATGGGGGAGGCAATTCACCTCCACCTGCAGCTCGCTCAGCTTTTTCTTGTACTTGTCTCGAACGTGTACCTTAATTGCGTCTTTTGGGCGTTCGTAACCCAACGCTAAGGCCACCTCCTTCGCTTTAAAGTACAGTTTGTCGCCTTGCACTATGCATTGCAGTTTGGTATTGTTGTTTTCGAATATGCGTAGCATGGTATATCTGAGAAATATTTTAACTTTTTAATATGCAACGCTTTTAAGTTGGTTCATTTCTACGCTTAGCTGCGCGTCAGACACGACGAAGATGTAGCAGTTTATCTTATCCGCATCACTTGCACTGGTGTTCTTTGTGCGTTTGATCTCCAATGTTATGCCATCCTGCGTATTTACCAGCCGCAGACCCTGCCCATGCATACTTTCGTCGTTCGTCGTGCGCATGTCAATCCATAACGCGTACTTGTCTTTGAAGAATTCCTCAGGAGACACCTGGTCACCAAACTTTCTCATCGCCTCCCTGTACGTGTCTGCGGGCTTTATTCCCTGGGAGTAGACTTTGTTTGGTACTCCGTTGATATTTACCCCCACGTTAGTAATGTTGGGGTTGTGAAAGGCTTCACTGTCGCGCTTACCGGCCCCATAGGGCTTAGCAAACACCAACATCAGCCCCGTGAGACTTCTTCGGGGGAGGTTAATGCTTTGGTTGATAACCTCGTCCGTCTTGTCCAGGAAGCTGAACGTCTTGTACATCACTACGTGGTCGTAAAGGAATGCCTTTCCGGAGCTGTATTCCATGCCAGCGCTACGGGCTAACTCTTCGCTGTATACAGTCTCGTACTGTAATTCTAAATTGGTGATAGAATAAGGATGGATACTACCAGTAAGTGCCGACTGTGCTGTGTCCATTTCTAGGATGTTGGTAGTGTCTGCTAACGTTACTTCAAACTGCAGTTCRGAYAATTGCCTGGGGTAATACACACCGTGGTTAGAAATAACTTCAAAGTCTAAGGGAATCACGTACTTGCTGCCATAAGCCGTTTTTACTCTGGTAGCGTCTGCTACTGCGGTTGATGCCCCGGAGTCCGTAGGTGCTGTCTTAGTATCACTTCGCAATTTCCTTAGGATAACGCTTCCGATTCCTTGTTCTATCCTTTGTGCACGGTCGAACGCGGTCAACCATACGTCTTTGTACGTGGTATACAGGTCGTACCTATTTAAGTCCAAAAGGGATTCCCCTGCGAACTTAATTCTCATCTTAGACACCAAGTTGCGACCTACGTTGTTTACTGTGTAAGTTTCTATTTTCGTACTTGGTTGTATTGCTAGGTCAAACCTTAACGCTAACGTTCCGGGTACCAATACTAAGTTATCCGTTAGACGGGGTACGCCTACGTACAAGGTTTCTCCTGGTTTGGCGCTAGAAGGTGTGAAGGTGACTCGGTGAAAGGTGCGTTCTGCTTTCAGTCCGCCAACCTGCTTAGGTAATACGTTGGGATTTAACTTTGAGCTTATCATATATAATGGAAGGAGAAGGAACGGATTTTGACCCCACCACGGAAGAAGGTCAAGTTGATATTAACGATGAAGAATACGAGTCCCTACTGCCGGAGGCAAGTGAGCCGGGCTTCTTTGAAAAGCTACGTTATAGGTACGGCAAAAAAGCCCGCGGCGCCTTACGCAGCCTTATGGACAGGTTTAAAAGGGAAAACCCCGGTAAATCCCTTCCATCTTACATGCGATTGGACGACTTAAGCCTTGTTCCTGAAGCTCCTACTGATGCCTGGCTGCGAAAAGTACAAGCGGAAATGGACGAATCCATGGAGGAGCCGCCAGATGACTTTGACAGGCTTAAAGAACTACTACCCGAGTGGGATCCTGAAAAAGCGCAGTTGTTATTTGAAGAAGACGAATACGGCAGGGAATTGATTATGGGCAGGCTTGCTAGAAGCGGCGCCAAGGTTTACGTCATCCGTGATGGAAAAGGAAGGTTCTTTGCCGACCCCCGAATTCCTCCAACTTTGGTGGCAGCTATTGGCGAAACGGTACCCAAACAGCTACTTACCGACGTACGTAAGAGGTATCCCAATGCCAGCGAAACCCTCTTAGAATTCCAAAAAGGTCCTAAGGGGCAAATTCAAGTGCGTTACGTAGGTAAGGAAAAGTGGTACGACTTTTATCAAAGCAAAAAGTCTAACGCACTTAACAATGCCTTACCAAAGGAAATAACGACGGCACTGGGCAACCCTAACTTATCCTTGATGCGCACTTTAACCGGCAAGGAAACTATGAGGTTACAGGAGACATTCCTCAAAGGCCTTAAGACCCCCGTGATGACTAACAGAATGCATGCCATCGTTGGAGTTCTGAATAAGGAACAAGAAAAACTCACAAAAATACAGGCTACCAAGGAAGACGTAGAGGAGAGGCTAACAAGCACGCCATCGGGCAGCAGCACTGCCTTGCGGCTGCAGCAGTCTTTAGAATCCCTCAGCACGGAAGAAAGCAGGCAGCAAGAACTCGTAAGCGAGTACAGAGAACAACTCGACGTGCTCGCAGGGCAATTAGATGAAAAAAACTCCGAACTGGAAGCAACGGCCGAGCACGTTAAATACCTAAAGCAGGCAATGGATGAAAAGGAGGAGGAATATATGAAGCAAATGCAACTGATGACTGATTCCCATGAACGCGAAAGTGAAGACAACAAGGACCGCATTAGCAAGTTACTGCACGACAGGGATACTGCTAGACAAAACTTCGACCGCGCAGTTAGAGACATCGGAGACAGAGACGCCGAACTCAGGCGCGTGGGTGCGCAGCTGGAAGCCTCGGTAATGCAAGAGCGGCGGTTAAACACGGAAACCGTCGTAAAGGAGGAGCAACTAAGACAAAGAGAGCAGGCCATAGAGGACCTGGAAGGGCAATTAGAGCGGCAGCAGGAAATAATCAACGACCAAACTCGTCCCGAAGAGGAAAGGGAAGCAGCTCAAAGGGAATTAGAAACCCTGCAGGAAAGAGTTGCGGAATTACAGGCGCAAAGGGGAAACCTGGAAAGGGAGTTGGGGCTTACCACCAAGGAAAAAATAAAAAGAGCTTTGATGAAATATGGTATTCCACTTGCATTCGCGGTCGCCATTTCCTCCGTAGTAGGTGTAATCTTGTCCGCGCTTAAGGCTACGGGTGCGGGTGTAAAGGCAGTAGGCAAAGGGCTGACGGACTTAGGAAAAAAGATGGCAGCCGGCTTGCCGGGGCTGCTCGGCAGTGTGATTGGTTTGACACTTAGAGCCGGCGGAGAACTGTTAAAGTTCGTGGGGAATAACATTTGGATATTAGTCGTAGCTATCGGCGTGGTATTCCTGAAGAAGATGAAGGTGTAACCTTGTCCTTATGTTTTGCTGGAGGCTTATCGGGCATTCGAGGCATCCTCGACTGGGGATAAGTAAAGATAGTATTCGCGCCGCCTTGATAATTTGGTGCCAAGGGTAGGACGCTCATAGTGCTAATAGTCTTATGATTCCAAACAGCATCCACAACACCGGATGTCGAATAGGTGGTATTTATCCCAACGAAGCCTGGATAATTGGAGGGATCATAAGGGTCAGCATCGCTGGGGCGAACTTGAAGCTTCGCATATTGACAATTGGCTATCATATGAAAAGTCACCGACATTAGGTTCTCCGCGCTCGCGGGCGCGGGCTCAAACGTGAAATGAGCCGCAGCCCTGTTAT